AAATCGCAAATGTAAATGCTATTTAAACATATATAACTCGAGTTCTAAAGGTCCATTCGATATTCAGACAAGCAAGAATAAACCTACACATCTTCTATGGCCGCCATGAACCTTATATCTGAGTTGAAGCCTTTCAAGAACCAATGGAAGGTTCAAGTGAAAATTGTCCGCCTTTGGAAAGAGTATTCTGCAGCTGCTGAGGAGACTATCGAAATGGTCTTCCTCGATGCTAGAGTAAGTTAAATTTTTTAGAAATGATCGAGTTTTATTCTATTTCTCTTTTTGACGTATGAAGTTTACTTATTTAATTTAATATTTTTTGGAATATGTTATTATACATTGATCACAGTAATGTTGTCGTTAAGTGTGTTGCATATGGAGCACTTGCTCATGTTTTTCACACCATATGGAATTCAATTAACGAGAAGGTTGTACTGTGTGTTTTACAATTCTGGTAAATTAATTGGGGAGCAGGTAATATATTTTTATAATTTTAAATAAATAGTCTATTTAATTTTATATCACATTAGAAAATAGCTAATAATTTTTTTTTGTTTAATAATGATAAGGAAAATTGAAGAATATCTCAAACATCGATGGCTTTTCAAAAATCATTTTTGAACCAGATGATGTTCCAGAACTCCATGCATTGAGGAAGAAGTANTACAAAATACTATTATCTTCAACTTCAATTAACATTAATGACCGAATCTGCATGCGTATTTCAGTTTCCCTTATATGCACTAACCATTGATGTTATTGTATTCGAATATTGAATGATTATATTTCATACATCGTCGAATGTCAACTAAAATTAATGACCGAATCTGCATAGATATTTCTAATATTGAATGAATATATTTTAGTCACATAATTTTAGCAACTAAATCTCGGAAGGTTTTTATTAGGTAAACGGTTTAGTGGTTTCTTTCCATTTGAATGTCAATCAGCTATATATAATATTCTGAATTAAATGATATTTCCGTTGACATCATATATAAACCTTCTTGGTGTCTCTAATATTGAATGAATATATTTCAGTCACATAATTTTAGCTACTAAATCTCGGAATGTTTTTATTAGCTAAACGGTTTAATGGTTTCTTTCCATTTGAATGTCAATCAGCTATATATAATATTCTGAATTAAATGATATAGCCATAAATTGGAATTTCCTTGATAGACAAGCGCAAATCGCAAATGTAAATGCTATTTAAACATATATAACTCGAGTTCTAAAGGTCCATTCGATATTCAGACAAGCAAGAATAAACCTACACATCT